TCCAACCGAAGGAGAAATATCCCAAACTCTAGCACTGTTCTGCAGTGAAAACAGAGGAGAAAGGAACAACAAGAACGCACACTGGAGACTGCAAAGCGAATGGTGGAGGACCGAGGCAGATGCGACGGTTGAAGAAGAAAAGAAAGGGGTTAGGGATTCAGCTTTAAAAACTTGTTCTCCTCCCCTCTTCTCTCGCTGAAATGAAAAGCATCGGGAGAGCAAAAAAAAAACTGATGCTTTTTCTGTTTTTCTTTTTATTCTAAGGGAATTTAAGTAACTTCAATGATACTGAAACAAAGATTAAACTACTCCATTAACAAGGCCCAAGTCCGAACCCAGCCCCACCAACGCCTTCAATCACTTCCAAAACCATTAAACCACATGATTTATTTATTTTTTTTTTGAGTGGAAAGGAAATCTATTACTGGAAAAGAAATACAAACTATACAACAACGGCTTGGGCGAGCCACAGAGCCGAGTCAGACAAGCACGCTAAAACAAAAACTAATGCGACCTGCTAACATAATTAATTAAATGATTGGCCGCCAGAGTATGACTAACGAGAACTCTCACAGATGCTATGATTTGTTGAGAATCAGGAGTATCTCCCGCAAAGAGGCGTTTGTTCCTGGCCCCCCATAGTTTCCATGTGAGAAATCCGAAAGTAAGCGTCCATGCATTAGAGGTTCGTTTAGGGTTGAGATTTATCTGCCACCATTACATGAGTGGTAAGGTCATGAAGCGGTGGAGAAGTCTCTTCGGGATGATGATTTTCCAACAGTTAGCGGCAGTCGAGCAGTGCCGAAGTACGTGATCTATGTCTTCAACGTTGTGCTGACATGCTTCACAGGTGGCGTCAATTGTAAGGTGCCTTCGCAGTCTCACTGCATTCGTTAGGAGTTTGTTTTTGACAGCGAGCCAGAGAAAAGATCTGACCCGCTGAGGCCCTGGCCATTTCCAAACTGATTTCCAACGGTGGTCGACAATGTCCCACTCAGATTCTTCCTGGAATTTGTAAGCAGACGATACTGTGAATTGTCCATTGGCACTAAGATTCCACATGCAAGTCTCGTCTCCATCATGCGGTGAAGGTGGTCACATGGCAGCAATTTGGAGATTAACAGACGTGGGAATCAGGTTCTGGAACAGGTCCCAACGCCAGTTGCCTTGGTCGTCCACAAATTCGCAGATGGGCTTTTGGAGGTTCTGCTCATTGATGACCGAGAAGGCAAGGTTCTTCAAAGGCCCTAGATCTCCAATCCAGTTGTCTGCCCAAAAACTGACTTTATGACCGTTTCTCGGTTTCCACTTGATGTGCAGAGCAGTTTCGGGCCATATTGCAGCTATACTTCTCTAGGTGTGGGAACTGGTTTTCATTTGGAAATTGTAGTTATTTTCTTTAGACCATTTATACTTAGCCCGAAGGACCTGAACCCAGAGAAGATTTGGTCTGCTTACTAGATAAAAGCCAAGTTTGGAGAGGAATGCATGATTTTGAGTACGTAGCATTCTGAGACCACACCCTCCGTTCTTGATTGGTTGACAGAGTTCTCGCCAGTTTAGGAGGTGGATTCCTTTGTGAGTGTCTTCGGATCCCCAAATGAAGTTTCTAATTAGCTGCTCCATTTTTTGGTGGCATGAAGCGGGCAACCTGGACGTTTGCATCGCATAGCAAGGTATAGAAGTGAGTGTTGCCTTTGCAAGAGTGATACGGCCCGCTAGTGAGAGGGAGCGAGCCTTCCAAGTGGAGAGCTTCTGCTGGATTTTTTCAATGATGTAGAGATAGGTATCTTTAGTCACTCTAGAGTGCAGAAGCGGGACCCCAAGGTACTTCCCGAGCTGCTCTATTTTTTCATAGCCAAGGTTCGCACAAACACTATCTGCCTCCTGTTTCTTGACATTCCGTGAAAAATAAATACGTGTCTTCGCCTGACTTATGGAGTGTCCCGAGGATACATAAAAGTCTGAGAGAGCCTTCTTAATAAGATTGACTTGCCTGGGAGTTGTGGAGCTAAAAAGGATAAGGTTGTCTGCGAAGAAAAGGTGGGAGAGTGTAGGACCGCCTCTTCCCATTTTAATGGTATCCCACCTATTTGCGTCAACTTCTGCTCTGATTGCTTGGGAGAGCCATTCCATACATAGTACAAAGATGTATGGGGAGATGGGATCCCCCTGTCGGATGCCGCGTGTAGGTTGAAAGGCGTTTGAAGGTCTGCCGTTCCAGAGTACTTGCATCGTAGGGGTGGTAATGCAGTGCATGATCAGCTTTATCATGCCTTCAGGAAACTGGGCATCCTTGAGTGTTTCTTCAATGAAACTCCATTTTAAGCGATCAAATGCTTTTTCTAAATCAACTTTGATTGCCATCCAACCTTTCTTGCCTCCCTTCCTTCTCATTGAGTGAATAACCTCTTGAGTAATAATGATATTGTCAGTGATGTTCCTACCTTTAATGAAGCTTGATTGGTAGGGGAGAATAAGCCCTGGCATGAGACTTTTGAGACGGTTAGCCATTAATTTAGTGATCACTTTGTATGCAACTGTGCAGAGGCTGATTGGGCGGAATTCATTGAGAGTGCGCGGCCTTTCAATTTTTGGTACTAGAGTGATGAGCGTTCGGTTATGTGAAGGATCCATGTGTCCTTCAACAAAGAAATTCTTCACCATTTCGTATAGGGAATTTCCTGCTACCTCCCATTGGTGCTGATAGAAGAGTGCATGGTAACCATCTATCCCTGGCGCCTTAAGAGGTTTCATGTCATACAAGGCTTGCTTTATTTCTGCATTAGTAGGTGAGACAGATAAGGTAGACCAAGAAGAAGGTGGGAGGAGGGGAAACAAACCTTTGGGCGTGTATGGTTGATACGGCTCATTGTGGGTTGAGTAAAGATTGGAGTAGTAATTTTGGGTCATCTGAAGGAGGATTTGTTCATCAGTAACCCATTCACCGCTTTCATTTTGGAGGGCAGCGATTCTGTTCTGACGCCTTCTGATTCTTGCTTGGGTGTGGTAATAAGATGTATTTCGATCCCCCAGGTTGATCTAGTTAGCACGAGACTTTTGGTACCAGAGGAGTTCCTCTTGGAGGCACACCATTTCATAATCAGAACGAAGAGTGATGTCCAGTTCATTGAGGTGAGAGGAAAGGGGGCACGTTTCTAGAGCACGCTGGACCCCATTGATGCGTCCCCTCAGTCTTCTCTTATTTTTATCAATTTCACCAAATACTTCATGATTCCACTGCTGGGCTGCTATGGCTAAATTTGCAAGGTTGGTTTCAAGGGGTAAGGATGAGGTCCAGTTGTCACGCACCAGACTTGGAAAAAGTGGGTGTGTAGTCCAGGCAGCAAGAAATTTAAAGGGCTTCGGTTCAGTGGGTCTATTTTTGAGTCCAAGGTCAATCCAAAGTGGCCGGTGGTCTGAGGCAATTTGGGGAAGGTGATGAATCTTGGAAAGGGGGAAAGATTGGATCCAGGAGATGTTTGAGAGGGCACGGTCTAGTCTGGCAAGGTAGAGGCCCTGACGCCAAGTGAAGTGTGGGCCTGAGTAGCCTAAGTCGACTAGGCTATTGTTTTGGGTAAAGGATTGGAAGAGTGGGCATCCACGTGTTCGGCCAATTGAGTTGCTATTCCTTTCATTGGATGAGAGAATAGCATTGAAGTCGCCTGCGAGCATCCAAGCTTCGTGGCCCTGGGGGTTGTGCTTCGAGAGCTCATTCCAAATTAGGGAGCGCCACTTCGGATGTGGGCTGGCGTAGATGGCCGAGAAGAAGAAATGTTTTTGGCTATCTCTAAGGGTGATTGAGCAGTGTATAAATTGGTGGTGACTTTCCAACACGTCGACACTGATTGCTTCTGTCCAGAGGATCCATATGCCTCTCGAGAAACCATTGGCCTCCACTCTATATGAGTAAGGAAGGCCTATTTTTTTGATAACTCTGTCAGCCTTGAGGCCAGAGATTCTAGGTTCTACCAAGACCACGAGCATCGGCTTATAATCTTTAATAAAGGACTTCAGCACTGCATGGAATTTGGGCGCTGCCGTGCCTTGACAGTTCCATATAAAGACAGACATAATAAAGATGGTGGGAAGGAGTGTGGAGCTAGCACTCCATGTTGGCATTGCTCGTCACACCGGTATCTTCCTCAGAGATTTTAGCGGAGTCAGCATCCTTGGAGGGATCCGTCTCGTCCAGAGATTTGGTTATGGCTTGTACGACCTCATCTGCAAGCGTTGGATATGGCTCATTCTGTCGAGCTTTGGGCTTGCGGATCACTATACCCGCTTGCTCTTTAAGACCCAGCTTCGGTTTGCAGGGGTCAGGTGGTTTAGCTCTAGGTTCAGGTTGTTGAGGATGGATTGGGGTGGGCTTAGGGGTTGGTGTGGATGGGAGATGGTGACAGCCTGGTGACAGGTAGGGTCAAGAGTTGGGTTTGCGGCTTTGTAGGCGCGGCTAGCAAAAAGGCTGTCAGGATTGGGTATGGTTTGGGTGCTTTTTGGTTAGTCTTCCTTGGATGTGGTGTCGAGGGTGGGAGCAGGTCTGATCTTATTGCTCCGAGGTTTTACTAAAGAGGATTCTTTTCCTTTTGCTTTTGAGCGGTCAGGGCTAACGGGAGGGTTGACATTTACTTTGTTGGGTACTGTAGCTTGCATGGATGCATGGTCTGGGATGGTATCATCGGACTTCAAGAGGTCAAACCTGGAACCACTGGTTGCACCTTTTTGGTTATTCGTTTCTGACATCTTTTTCTCAGCTTTGTCTCTTCTTCGTCCTTTGGCCGGGGCCTGCATCCAAGCACCGTACAGGTTGACGGCGTTCATGGTTTGAACTTGAGGCTCCGTCGCTGTCTCCGGTTGGGGTTGGAGCAATGGCGCTCCGGTTTCATCGATTTCCTCGGCAAACATCCTCGAGGTGACCGTAATGCCCACAGTTGTAGCATATTGTGGGTAGCCCCTCATATTCCACCAGGAGCGTGCGGTTGTCCACTTCTATTTTGATGTTAGAGCCGGGAGAGATCAATGAGCACTGCCATCCGAGCGAACCTGCCTCTTTCTCTGGAGGCTGTGTTGTAGTTGATTCTGAGAACTTTTCCTAGAACCTCTCCAATGGCTTTGATCACACTTTTTTTGTAGTATTTAGCTGGCAAGCTTGGGAGTCGAATCCATCCCATTACGTGGGAGGTCCTATGGGTCCAGGGGGAGAAGTCTGGCGTCCATGGTTGAACGGTGAGGTAGTGGCCGAATATGACCCAAGGGCCTCCTAAAAGTACTTCGGTGTAGTCACGTTCGTTGCTGAGCTTGGCAATAAAACAGTTGTTTTCCAAGTCAGTTAGTTGCACCGGGCCGGTGAGTCGCCAGAGGCTGACCACCTTATCCCTTAGGTCTACATACCTGATGTTTCTTCCCAGCATTTTAATGACAACTGAGTATTTCATGCTGTCATTGAGCAGACGGTGGACCCTCTCTGAGAAGCTGATGGAAGGAATGGGCCCCTGTTTGTTGATGGTAACATCTCCTTCTTGAAAAAAGAAGTCTTCTTCGTCTTCCTGCTTCTTGGAGGATTTGTTAAGGAGCATGTCCTTGAAGGAAGGTGGGTTAGTTGCCTTCCTTGCGTCCTCTGGCGTCTGGGGTACGACTTCTTCTTCAGTCGACATCTCATCGTCGTCTGACTTGATGGGGTCATATGAGAGCATATCCGAATCATTACCTGCACGAAGGTCCCGTATCTTGACCTTCTTGACCTTGACGGTGGTTGTCGCGTCGCAGTGTGGTGGGATTTCGTCTTTCTCCTGGAGCGTAGTCGAGAGAGAGCGTTCCATCTGCGTCCACCAGATTTTCTATTTTTAATGTCCCATGATTTATTTAGTTGCGGGCTACAACAACAACAATAAAAAGAAATTATTAACTAATAATTTAATATAATAATTATTATACTATTAACCCTAAACTTTAATAAGAAGTAAAGACTTTAGTTAACTTCTCCTATTTGGGTGAGATTCTCTCATGCCACACTCTCAATAGTCAATACATCAATTAGAGAACACATTGCGCTAACATTTTATGTATGCAAAAGTGATTACGTGCTCTCCCCAATTGCTACCACACTTCTTCCAATTTATACATTCCATTACAAGGTATTTCCATTTTTTTCCGGTAACAAGGTCCTTCCATTTTTTAAAGATATAAGATATAGTTATGCAAAATTTATATAAAAGTGTTGACCACTAACCTGCTCCAAGAATCCCTAAAACACACGAATTTGGACTGGAAAAGAATTACTTTATTGAATCACAACTGAGAAAGAATACACACATGGGCCAACAACGGACCCAATATTTATATACAATGCGCAGCTCTAAGACCCTAAAGTAAAGGGCTCACAAGAATGGGCTACTGATGGGCTTACAGAAACAAAATACAACAAGCACCCAACAATTAGAAATAAATTCATTCAAATATTTCCAACACTCCCCCTCAAGTTAGGGGCTTGAAAATATCTATAGCTCCTAACTTGCTCAACAGGTTTTTCTGTACATTTCCCGCAACTGGTTTTGTCAGCAGATCTGCTTCTTGGTTGTGGCTTCTAACATGCTCCAGATCAATCAGCTTGGACTCCCATTTCTCTCTAATGAAATGACAATCTATTTCATATGTTTTGTGCGTTCATGAAAGACTGGGTTGGTTGCAATATGAATTGCAGCCTTGCTATCACAATAAACTTTCACAGGTTCCTGTGATCTATTCCCAAATCTTTCAATAAGCTAACAGCCCTATACCACCTCAGAAGTTGCCATGCTTAAAGCTCTATATTCTGCCTCTGCGGACGACTTTGAGACAGTATGTTGCTTCTTAGTTTTCCACATCACAAGAGATCCTCCCAGCTTTAACAAATATCCAGATACAGATCTCCTTGTCATAGCACAAGACGCCCAATTTGAATCGCAATAGCATTCCAAAACTGGTTTCTCTTCTGAGCTAATGACGACTCCCAATCCAGGTGTGGCTTTCAAATACCGCAGGACATTTCTTGCTGCTGCCATATGAGCTTTAGTTGGCATCTGCATGAACTGGCTCAAGGTCTACACAGAATAAGAGATATCAGGCCGGGTCATTGTCAAATATATCAACTTACCTATCAACCTTCTGTATTTTGCTGGTTCTTTCAATAGGTCTTCTGCACGGTTCCTCTTCTCATCATAAGCGAGTAACTTCAGATTTTGAGCCATTGGAACCCCTATTGGCTTGCAACCTGTCATGCCAGTTTCAAACAATAGATCCAAAACATACTTTCTTTGTGACAAAACAATTCCTTTCTTAGCCTTAGCTACTTCAATCCCAAGAAAATATTTCATTAGTCCTAGGTCCTTAATTTTAAAATGATTACGCAAGAATTCTTTAGTTTCAGCAATTCCAGACTCAGTGCTCCCTGTGATCAGCAAATCATCAACATATACCAAAATAAAAACAACCCCTTGCTCAAAATGTTTAATAAAAAGAGAATAATCAGCCTTACTTTGTGTAAATCCTCCTCTCTGCAGTGCTTCAGACAATTTTTGATTCTATTGTCTTGAAGCCTGCTTCAAACCATAAAGGGATTTATTCAATTTGCAAACCATTTGCTCCCCCTGTCTCTCAAAACCTTGAGGTATTTTCATATAAACTTCCTCATCTAAATCACCTTGTAAAAATGCATTATGAACATCCATTTGATAAAGATTCCATTTGTTAACAGCAGCTAATTTTAAGACTACTCTAACTGTAAACATTTTCACAACAGGAGAAAAAGTCTCATGATAATCAATACCCTCCTTTTGATTAAAGCCCTTGGCTACTAATCTAGCCTTATACTTTTCTATACTACCATCTGCATTATATTTAATTTTATAAACCCATTTGCAACCAATAGCCTTCTTACCCTTAGGTAAAGGTACTATGGTCCAGGTTTTGTTACTTTCTAAAGCTTTCATTTCAGTTTCCATGGCTTTTACCCAGTTTTCACTTTGAACAGCCTCTTCATAACAGGATGGTTCACAATTAGAGTCAATAGAAGTCAGAAAACACATATGATCAGTTGACATGTGTGCATAGGAAAGATAATCATCAATAGGATATTTACAATTAGGCTTTAAAGAATAATCAGAGTCAAATTGCAACAAGGAACATACATAATCATTTGCCCAAATAGGGGGTCTTCTAGTACGAACAGGTCTTTGACTCTCAACACTGGTTTGGTTTCTACGGTTATCACATTCATCATCTCCTCCATTGTTTGTCCTGTTATACGTAGGATTTTACCATTATTATTAGCTGATTCTGGTTCTGCAATGGTTCCAGAAGTTTGATTTCCAGAATTTTCTGATTCAAACCAAAACATTGATCTCACACCATCTCTTAATGTATCTTGAAAGTTGTTTCTAACATCCCTGAAGGGAAACTTATCTTCTATAAAGTGTACATGTCTGCTGACAAAAATGGTATTTGCTTTAGATCTAGGAGCAAAATTCTTTTTGATTATCTGGGTACCCTAGGAAAAGACTAGGGATTGATCTAGACTGTAGTTTATCACTGACCTTTAAATCAGTGGCATAAGCAAGTGACCCAAAAATCTTCAAATTACTTAGGTCTGGTTTGGCTCCATAAATCCTTTCGTAAAGTGTTTGGTAGTCTATAACCTTTGAGGGAATCCTATTCACCAAATATGTCGCCATTTTAACACACTCCCCCCAATACTTAATGGGTATTCCTGACTGTAAGATAAGACTTCTAGTGATCTGCATAATGGTTCTATGTTTTCTTTCTACTACCCCATTTTGCTCTGGTGTATAGGGACATGATGTCTGATGAATTATGCCTCTCTATTGAAAATAAACTTTCAATTGATTATTAGTAAACTCAGTTCCATTATCACTTCTAATCCTTTTTACATTCACAGAGAACTGTGTTAAAACATAAGCAATGAAGTTCTTGATATGAATTTCAGTCTCATTCTTATGTCTCATCAAAAAAATCCAAGTTCCTCTAGAAAAGTCATCTACTAAAGTCAAGAAAAACTGAAAACCTTGATGCGTGGGGTTCCTATAGGGTCCCCAAACATCCGCATGAGTCAAATCAAAGCTTTTCTGAGATTTAATGACACTAGAATTGAAAGGGAACTTAGTCTGCTTGGACTGAATGCAAATATCACAAGAATTGAAGTTTTATTCAAAAGAATTTTCAGTACAAATTTGATCAATGTGTCTTATTACAGATATGGGGGCATGTCCTAGTCTTTTATGCCATAATTCGACATCACAATCCTTTCTAAAAGGTCTCTGATTCTGAACAGTATTTGCCAAAACAGGGGTATCTGTCACTTTTAGCACATAAAGCCCTTTATACTCTTTACCAATCATCTTCATCCTCCCATCCTGAAGGCCTTGCAGTACACAGAGATCAGGAAAGAAGGCTGCCATGCAATTGTGTTCCTTTGTAAATCTAGATATGGATATCAGGTTAAACTCAAGACGCGGTGCATACAGAACATCATGCATAATAACATTTTCAGCAATAGTAACAGAACCAACATGAGTGACAGGTAATCTATCTCCATTCGGTATTTTAATTGTCTTAATCGGTCCATTATACTGCTTATAATCATCAAACAAGTCTAATTTACTAGCCATGTGAGTAGTTGCCCCAGAATCTAAAATCCAGTGTGTGTAAGTTTTAAAATTTGGTATAGGATTGATCAAACCTGTACCCGTTAAAGCGTGTACCGTAGGCTCCACATCTTTCTTCAACATCTCCAAGATTCTTTGTATTGCTCCTTAGTGAAGGTCGGAGCTACTGTTGTGACAGCGTGGCCTTGAGGGTCAGGGTCTTTGACAGAATCAGCTCCCCCTTGCTGAAATTCCCTCTGCTTTCTCCCTTTATTTCCTCTGAAATTGGCTGGATACCCGACAATCTGGAAACAATTCTCCCGAACGTGCCCCTTCTTATGGCAGTGAGAGCATTCGGGGTGTAGTGTCTCCTCTGCCTCTTCCTCGACCACGTCCCCTTCATTGCATAGTATGAGTTTCATCCTGGACTATTTGCATGCCTCATTCACAGACGGGAGAGGAGACATCAGTAAGATCTGGCTTCGTGCTTGATTGAAAGTCTCGTTGAGACCCATCAAGAACTGCAACAGCTTCTGTTCTTGAATGGCGTCGAATATTGCCTTCGCCGTCGCACACGAACAGGAAGGAATGCCACGAGTGCTGCCTGTTCTTCCCAAAGTTCTTTCAACTTCGAAAAATAGATGGTAACCGGGTTCGTGCCTTGCCGAAGGGAGCTAATTTCCCTGTGGAGAGCGAAGACGTGAGATCCACTCTTTTTGTCAAAACGTTCCTTCAGTTCGATCCAGACAGCGTGCGAGTCTTGGAAGTATATGATTCCGTTGGCTAACTCCTTCGAGATGGAATTAAGCAACCAGGAGAGAACAACCACGTTACACCTTTCCCACTGCGGTCTGAGACGCTCTTCTTGGTTGGCTTTCTTGCAAGTGTCGTCAACGAAGCACAATTTATGTTTCCCGAGCAGCGCGATCGTCATCGCTCGGGACCAAACGGTGTAATTCTCAGTCCCGGTGAGAATATGTGGTATGATCGCCGTCCCCTGCGTGTCGGAGGGATACAAGAACAATGGATGTGAGAAAGGGATACCTTCGATTGTGCCTTTCTCATCTCCCATCGGATCGGTCGGGTAGGGTTCCGGTGCGGTGTGTCAGTGTGTTGGGCCTGAATCGGCAGGGTCTCTTCGTAGCCCTAAACGATCGTGCTCCGTGGCTCTGATGCCATGT